TAGACTTTGCCAAAAAACATCTAAAAAAGCCAGAGCACTTCTGGAAAAGCATTCTTTGGACGACTGAAATAAAGACCAACCTGTACCAGAATGACGGGAAGAAAAAAGTCTGGAGAAGGCTTGGAACAGCTCATGATCAAAGCACACACATCATCTGTGAAACATGGAGCAGTGTGATGCATGAGCTGCATGGCTTCAGTGGCTCTGGGTCACTGGTGTTTAGTGATGATGAGACAGAAGACAAAAGCAGCCGGATGAACTCTACATGAAGTGTGTAGAGATATACTCTCTGCCCAGATTCAGCCAAATGCAGCAAAGCGCTTCATAGTACAAATGAACAATGACCCAAAACACACAGCAAAAGCAACCCAGGAGTTTTTGAAGATAAAAAAGTGGAATATTCTGCAATGGCCAAGTCAAGTGATCTCAACCCGACTCTCACCAAAATATTAAAAATGAACATTTTATTTAAGATTATATTTATCTGTCCAATTACATTTGAGCCCCTGAAAATGTGGGGCTGTGTATAAAAATGGTTGTAATTCCTAAGCATTTTATGTTATATTTTTGTTCAACCCCTTGAATTAAAGCTTAAAGTCTGCACTTCAATTTCATCTTGACTGTTTTATTTTAATTCTATTCTGGTGGCATACACAGCCGAAATTATGAAAATTGTGTCAGTGTCCAAATACATATGGACCTGACTGTATATATAAAATACAATACTGATTTAAACTAAGACAGTTATAATTAAAAACATGTAATTTAATTTAAGTTTTAATCAAAGTGTAAGTGAAAAATCAAATGATTAAATTATTTTAATTTATTATTACTACTATTAATTTTATTATTTTATTGTAATTTCATTTACCCAATATTTGTGTGCTGTGAACTTTTTATGCGACGTTTATTCAGTACATTTATTCAAAACTAAGTAGATATTTAATTTAACTTGATTTAATGATAATATTTTAAGAAAAAATATAAATTAAATTACATTGTTTAAATGTTCTATATTATATCTATGTATATTATTATTATTTTATGGTACATTTTATGGTGTATTGTTATTTTTGGACCTTGATAACCGCTATAAGAGCAGTTTCATTCTCATTTAATCTTTTACAGAGAAAAAAAATCATATGGGTGATTAAATTATGAAATTAGTTTTCATTTTGCACTTACATCAGTGTGTGTTTATCATTCTCCACATCCTTTGAATGTCTCTCTTCATTCTTCTTTTCATCCACACACACTTCATCTGTCTTCAATGCATCTGAACTGAGATGTTCTTCACTAAGCAGTGGCTCAAAAGCGGGTTCACTACTGTCTGTCCATGCAGAAGCTGCAGGAATCGCGTCTTCTGATTGGTCGATGGATTGTGCATCATTATTGTTCTCTGGAGGAAGTGCGTTTGAATGGTTACTAGTGTGAAGATCTACATTGTTGCTAGTAGACGAGCCAGCGGTGGTTTGTGGACTCAACCAAGACAGTCCCTGATAATCCCGACCGACTGGGAGACTCTGACAAAACATGTCCTCATATTCAGAACCTTTATCAGACTCATCATCATCATCAGCAGGGCTGTACTCGTCATCTGAGGATAATGACGGGGCCGGCAGGAAGGGGCGGGACTTATAAGGCAGGCTGTGTGATTTTCCAGGAAGAGGCCTGTGTGTGAAGGAAGGGCTGCTGCTTTTGGCTGCAGGTGTTTGATGCTCATTAGTGCAGTTTTGCGATGGACAGGAATCGGCCTGATTGTCCTGGTTTTCATCCTCCTCTTCCTCATATTCGTTCTCAAAACAAGGCGCCTCGACTGAGAACTCAACCTGACGAATAGAGACAGACATCAGGTACAGGCATCATAAGTGTGCTCACCAAATACAAACAAAAGTCTATTAAGAGTATTAAACTTCTTTATAAGACACTTCATTTAGACCCATTTTTGAAAAGACTTTCAAAAACTGACAGCAAATTAATCACTGATACTGAATGAAAACCTCTTATAGAATCATATTTACAGCATCACATTATACCGGAATGCATTATGATTAGGGTTGCAAAGGGGTGGAACATTTCCGGAAACTTTCCAAAAATCCCTGGAATATTCCAAAAAAATTCCTGGAAAGTGTCTACATTTCTGGAATGTTTCCGAAATTTACAACAATTTTGCAACCCTAATTATGATGGAAAAAATGTTTAGTCGAAAGAAATTTAATTTATATAGTAACATTTTATAATATTTTAATTCAAAATGTACATGTAAAATACTTACATTTAATTAGTGCTTTAACTCACTATTGTTAACAATTTATATAATATTTGTAATACTTTTCCCAATATTTGTGTATGCTATGTATATATTATAATATTTTAATAAAAAATGTTGTTTAAAATGTTTAATTAAAATATGTTTTTAAGTTAATGATTTAATTTCTTATTTTTAGTTATATAATTAATTAACTCTTTTCCCGCCAGCATTTTTGAAAGATCCAGTAAATCGCTTCAATCAACACCTCCAAAGCTTGCACAGACATCACTTTCTAGATCAACATTTTACTCCGTAACATTATGCAGTTTTTATTTATATGCGGTCTATTGCTGATGATCGCATTATTTTTCATATGCATCTGTTTACATAAGAGATCGCTCGTTTCTCCGTCCTGTTCACGTGTTTTTGTTCGGGAGGTTTTGTATTCGTTCAGAAGATGCATAATAGCGCCCCGAGTGTATAACAGTGAAAACACGGAAAGCCGTAAAAACTCGTCAATGGCGGGGAAAGAGTTCATTTCAATTGACCAAATATTTGTGTGTACAATGTACTTTTGGAATCAGCAGTAAGCGTTAGTCAAATCTCTTATGTAGGGATGTCACGATTCACTCAACTCACGATTTGATTCGATTTTCTCACGATTTATTATTTTTTTTAACAAAATGAGATTGAAGACATTATACAGTAAATTAAAAGGTGTCGTTTTATTAGGCTATTGCTGCACGGTAGTTTTTAATTTAAATTAGACTGTATAATTTCAAAATTTGAAGCAAAATCAGAATGGTCTGACTTCATTTTTGTGAAACTATACTACATAAAACATCTGAACGAAACAGCAGACGAGCTGAATGAGACGTAGATTCACTCTCTGACAGCAGGTGGCGCTTATGAACAGCAATGATACAGTGTTTCCTTGGTTACCGCTGTAAACAAAGCAGAGCTGCGCTTATGAACAGCAACGATACAGTGTTTCCTTGGTTACCGCTGTAAACAAAGCAGAGCTGCGCTTATGAACAGCAACGATACAGTGTTTCCTTGGTTACCGCTGTAAACAAAGCAGAGCTGCGCTTATGAACAGCAATGATACAGTGTTTCCTTGGTTACCGCTGTAAACAAAGCAGAGCTGCGCTTATGAACAGCAATGATACAGTGTTTCCTTGGTTACCGCTGTAAACAAAGCAGAGCTGCGCTTATGAACAGCAATGATACAGTGTTTCCTTGGTTACCGCTGTAAACAAAGCAGAGCTGCGCTTATGAACAGCAATGATACAGTGTTTCCTTGGTTACCGCTGTAAACAAAGCAGAGCTGCGCTTATGAACAGCAATGATACAGTGTTTCCTTGGTTACCGCTGTAAACAAAGCAGAGCTGCGCTTATGAACAGCAATGATACAGTGTTTCCTTGGTTACCGCTGTAAACAAAGCAGAGCTGCGCTTATGAACAGCAATGATACAGTGTTTCCTGGGTTACCGCTCTTATGAACAGCAATGATACAGTGTTTCCTGGGTTACCGCTCTTATGAACAGCAATGATACAGTGTTTCCTGGGTTACCGCTCTTATGAACAGCAATGATACAGTGTTTCCTGGGTTACCGCTCTTATGAACAGCAATGATACAGTGTTTCCTTGGTTACCGCTGTAAACAAAGCAGAGCTGCACTTATGAACAGGGGCCCGTTCTTCGTACGTCGCTAACTCCGTTAGCTGGATTTGATTGTTGACGATTTGGCATGATCTTGGATTGTTTGGTTCTTCGAACAACCGATTTGAATCTTCACATATTTGAATCGATTTTCGACCGGCTCGCGGTTAATCGTTACATCCCTACTCTTATGTGAAGAGTTGTCACAAGACTGTTATTTCGCACTCATTAATTTCTTCATTCACACATGCATGAACACACCGGGTTTGCAGCACAGCTGTCCATCAAATCCAAGAACCCGAAAGCTTCCTGGAAATCAAGTGGCAGATCCGGGTCTGGAAACTCCATGTCCTCGTAGTAGTGCGGACTGATGGGTTCCTGATGGAGGTTTCCTCTCATTTCTGTGGGAAACACATTTACATTTGCCTTCATTTTCTACCACACTCTTTCCTCAAGGAGCTCATGTAACGAGGAGTTCAAATTTACTTTAAGGTTTAAGGCAAAACGCTACAGGCAAAAACATTGTTTTTTCATGCACTGATCAGTTTTTTTATTATTATTTTGGGCTGTTTGGCTTTTCATAAAGTGTTATTTCAGTGGAAAGAAAACATCCCACACATTTAAGGCAAGACACCCATCATATCTCACCATACTTCCCCAATTTGATTTGATTACATTAAGAATAGTGAACAATTTTTGTATTACATAAATTTGCAGAACAGAAATCTGAACATTGGTTCAAAATTCTTGTTTGATTGATATTAGAGACGATATCGCTCCATAAATCAGAAAATACTGTCAATAGACAGAAAAAAAAAAATTTTCACCATGTTTTTAGGAATAAAATGTTAAAAGTATAAATCAATGTGAATGATATATAAACAAACCCCTCAGTAAAAACCTTCAGAATATAGAGAGGAATTAAACTGTAAGTTTTGGTGTATGTAAGTGCTGCTGAAGTGGAGAAAAAACTTTCAAAGACATGGATTGTAATTCAAATCTACAAACGCAAATAGGCTAGATAAAGTGCAATAAAATAAATACTTAAGGTGAGACGCTACAGGCAAAAACTTTTTTCATGCACTGGCCAATTTTCAAGTGTTTTTTCAGATTGTGTAAACGATGTTTTTTTTTCAGGTAAAAAAACTTCTAAAATGCACTTATAGATGTTTATTTTACAACACTTTAAATATTTGTGTCTGTAGATTTCAATTACAATCCACATCTTTGAAAGTTTTTTCTCCACTTCAGAAGCACTTACATACACCAAAACTTACAGTTTTATTCCTCTCTATATTCTGAAGGTTTTTACTGAGGGGTTTGTTCATATAATATTCACACTGATATTTATAACATATTATTCCTGAAAACATGGTGAAAATGCATATCTTTAAAGGTGGTGAGTTTTTTCTCCACTTCAGCAGCACTTACAAACATCAAAACTTACAGTTTTATTCCTCTCTATATTCTGACGGCTTTTACTGAGGGGTTTGTTCATATATCATTCACACTGATTTATGTGACATTTTACTCCTAAACACGTGGTAAAAATATTTTAAAAAATGTTTTGCCTGTTGACAGTATTTTCAGATTTATGGAGTGATAAAAAGAGAAATACAAATCTCCTTAAAACCTTTAACTCGAATATGTCAACAAAATCAAACAAGAATTTTGAACCAATGTTCAGATTTCTGTTGTGGAAATGTATGCAAATTAGTGCATACTTAATTAGACAATGCCTCATTTTGCATATTTAAACATAGCATTTCAGAAAACTAATACAGACATGTTTTACCCTATTCACCTGCAGTGTCTTGCCTTAATTTATGAAAACATTGCCAAAAAAAAACTAAATTGCACGTGATCATCAGAATGCTCACATTTACATGTCAGTGAATAATAATCTCAATATTTCTCTCTTACCAACGTAATCCTCTTCTGTGGTTTCCTCTTTGTTTTGTGGTTGTGTGTCTTTTACATTTTCCTTCATAGACTCTTGATTCTGGCTCAGATTTTCTTTCTCTGCTTCTTTGCCACACAGTGAGTCTCCTTTTTCTGGCACATTGTTCTCATTTCTTGTAAGCTCTGCCATATCCTTTCCACAATCCACCTGACTTTCCACATAACTATTGGTTTCTCTTTCCCTCTCTTGAACATTATCATTTTTGCTCTGTGGATTCCCATCTGTGGACTCCGTATCTATGCTCTTAACGTCCTCATCTTCTGCTTCGTCTCCTTGTAGGGGTTGTTCCTTATCGTTCCAGCCGCCGTGCAGGACACCCAGAGCCAGTCCAGACGTTATATGAAGCGGGACGGTCACTGAAAATGGCCCTGATATGTGTATCCCGGCGCGCCGGTCTGCTTTGCTGGTCATTCCGGGCGATCTGGCCACGCCCTGCGACACACCCTCGGCTCCGCCCCCAGACTCCAGACGGCTATAAGTTCCTGGAGTCCCTCCACTCACCATGCTGACCTGAGCTCCGCCCGTTCGCCTGTAGGTCACCGCGTATCCACTGGACACGCCCCCGCCGGCAGAAGCCACGCCCTCTGAGCTGCCTGATGCCGTGGACAGAACCAGAGGAGGATGTTTGGAATCTGAGAGACAAACAAAATAATAGTGGCGCAAGATTATGTTCATTCAAAGGTTTGGGGTTGATTTATTATTATTCTGCTCACCAAGGCTGCATTTATTTGATCAAAAATACTGTAAAAATTGTGAAATATTATTAAAATTTTAAATAGCTGTTTTCTGTGTGAATATCTGTTAAACTGTAATTTATTTCTGTGATCAAAGCTGTATTTTCAGCATCATTACTCCAGTCTTCAGTGTCACATGACCTTCAGAAATCATTCTAATATGCTGATTTGCTGCTCAAGAAACATTTCTGATTATTATCAATGTTGAAAACAGTTGTGCTGCCCAATATTTTTGTGGAAACCGTTATACATTTAATTTTTCAGGATTCACAGAAGAAAAGAACAGCATTTATGTGAAACAGAATTTTTTGTAACATTTTTTGTAAAAAGATATTTAATTATGTTCATGAGAATAATGAGAATATGTTCCTTAAATAGAAAACTATGTGCATGTAAATTAGGTTAATGAATGTTCAAAATAAAAATAAAAAATCTCTGATTAGGTTGAGCTAAAAAAAAAAAAAAAAAAAGAATAAAAAATAGAATGATTTTAGATTATTTAAAAATCTTTGGCAATTAATAAAATGGTGTATTGCATGTTTATTCATGCTTATGGATGCTTTTTAAATGATCGTACAAATTCAAAATTAAGGTAGAGTAAATACACTCAGTGGGGTGAATAAGGTAATGTTAAACACCAAGAAATGTGCATCTAATATCTTACTGCAGTAAATTCAGATGAAATATGACTATGAGATTGAAATATATAGATGAATCTATATTCTTTGATGAGCAGATGATGAAACGCTCTTCATACCGTCTAGTGCATAAGGACCTGAGCTCAGAGTTTCCATGCTCTTCGCCGGCCTCAGAGCTGTCTTTTCTTTATCTGTGCATTTAGAAGATATAATGAGAAACAAAAGCTATGAATTAGATGTGAGAGGGGAAACATTTGTAGTCAATTATCTGTTGACTTCAGTCATGCAAAAATTCATTTTACATTTCCAGAATACTCTATAATTCAGCTGTTACTTGGTTTACAGTCAGACCCTCGCACCTTTAGTACAGTATTTGTTCTTCTTGCGCGGATCTTGGAGTCTCCCGCCCAAATTAAAGATGGATCTCCACTTCCTTCCTTTGAGGGAGCCCTTCCTCCTGAACACAACACAGATGGTCAAATCAAGTCAAGTCAAGTCAAGTCAAGTCAATAAAATAAAATAAAATAAAATAAAAAAAATAATAAAAGAATGGATGACAATGGCTACATCTCAACAAGCACACTTCTATGATGCACTTAAAGTACATACTTCACTGGTACTTTCGAGTATGTAATAAAAGAGTACAGTTCATAATTGCGTCTTGATGCTATTAGCGTTTACATGAAAGCATCAGTATCATTATTTTTGTATTCATTATTATTTAACTTTTAGGTACCTTTGGCTTATTGTTCTCAACTCACTTTATTGGGGAGGCACTAATCCTAATATTTTATAGTAGTTACAGTTGGGTTAAATTAAATTAAATTAAATTTTATTTTAAAAAAGTAAAATTAAAAATTAAAATAAATGTAAAATAAAATAAATAAAATATAAAAGTAAAAGCATTACCATCTAACTAAATTATCTTCAAAAATCATTATTATAATCATTACTCAACTCTGTTAGGGATGAACAAATCTTAATCTCACATACTTTATAGTAGTGATGTTACAGTTGGGTTAAGGTTAATAAAATAAAGTTAAATAAAGATTAAAAAAAATAATAATAATAATGTTGGCGCCAATAGCCTTGTGGGCAGCGCGCACAACACAAAAATAATAATAAAATGAAAAATAATAAACAAACAAACAGAAATAATTACAATGAAAATAAAATTAAATATGGTACAGTAAAGTAAAATAATCTAAAATAAAATAAATTAAAATTTAAATGTAAAACAAACAAAAAATTAATGTAAAATAAAATAAAACAAAATGAAATACTGTAAAGTAAAATAAAATCAATTAAGAATTAGATAATTAATAATAACCGAAACAAAACATTTATGAAGAATCAGTTGCAGAGCCAGATGTGAATGAAGCACAGGTGCTGTTCATCTTTCTGATGATTTCTGATCATTCACCATGTTCAAACTCAGTTTAACATGTTTCAAATGCAGTTTAAATTTAAACTATCACTACTTCATAGCATTGGACACTCAGAAGCACTATGTCTCTTCAGTCTTACTTGTCAGTGCCGTCAATAATAGCGTGGTACGGTCGCATTGGCGGAGGACCGTCTCCTGGACTGAGGTTTCCTGGACAGTGTAACGGTAAAGACTTGAAGAAATGATCGTCCTGAGTGGACAGTATTGAGGGAGACGGCAGGGACTTCCGGCGCTCCACAGACAATCCTGGATTAAAAACAAATAACATCAACATTTTACAACTGAGAAAACTGGAACACGTAATACTGAGGATGATGAAAATAACAAAGCGCAGAGGGTTTATTAAGGAAGATGAAATACCGCTTCCTGAGAAAACCTCGGCCACGTGAGTGAGAATAAACTCCACCACGATGGACTGAACCCGAACCTCCATGAACGCCGCGGTGCCGTTAAAACCGGTCGACTCGATGTCCTTCGATCTGCAGACAATTATGCACTTATTCAGTAATAACAAATAAAGCTGATTCTGAAGCTCAACTGCTTTAGAATCACACTTGCAACCAATGCAAATGTACAGTGCAAAGAAATATGTTCTCTCATAATATTTTTGTCTTGTTTTCCAGTACAAATATCTACAAATTCTTAAATGAAGATAGATGCAAAATGACTTGAATGATATTAAAAGTGTTGTTTTCTGAAAAAAATAATGCATATAAATTAAGTGAGTTTTTGAGTAAAACAAGAAAAAATGTGTTAACTGGGTCAGAAAATAAATGAATAAATAAACAACAACCATCATTATAATCTTGTTTTCTCTTTGAATTATTTAGTTATTTTTCAGATCTTAATATCTAATTGAACTAATAGTCATATTCCTTCTCAAGTAAATGTATCTCGATTTAAGGATGTTTAAATATTTGCACTGGAAAACAAGATAAAAACACTGATTAAGGATTTTTTTCAGTGTAACAGATACAGATACTGTTAAAAATATTTTACTAAATTATTGTATTGTAGTACCTATGCAACAAAAAAAAAAAATGCAAGAGAAAAAGTTAAAACTATTTACATTCAAGTGAAAAAAGTAAGAACTTTCTCAGCTTTATAAAGTGACTTTTGAAAACAAGAGGCAGTAGAGATTTTAATATTTATAATGCAAATATGTTATAAAGAAACCTGTTGAAATTACTATTTTCTCATTGTTCTGATTATCTCCAACAGCAGATTCAAACTGAAACCTGTTACCTGAATATTAGCAGCAGATGATTTCACTGTGGTTTGATATATCTGAATATAGTGATTTTTAGACTATTTCTAGACAGCGACGGTTATTATAAAAACATATAACTTCAGTTTAAAGTGCGTGTCAGAAAGATTTAGTTCACTCAAAAGTGAACATTCTGTCATTTAGTCACCTTACGATCATTTAGTCGCATCAGGATAAAGAAAAATGCTATTTTTAAATTTTATATAACTGAGAAAAGCTTTAAGTCACATGACATACACTTTTAAAAATAAAGGTGCTTAAAAGGTTCTTCACAGCGATCCCACAGAAGAACCATTTTTGGTTCCACAAAGAACCATTCAGTCAAAGAATATCTCTTTCTTACCTTTTTATAATCTGAAGAACCTTCTTTCACCACAAAGAAGCTTTTGTGAAACAGAAAGGTTCTTCAGATGTTAAAGGCTCTTTATTGAACCGTTTAGACAAAACGGTTCTTCTATGGCATCGTGAAGCACCTTTATTTTTAAGAGTGTATATATATACTTTGCACTTTTAAGTCCAGAAATCGTAATGTAGTAATAAGTATTTTTAAAGAATTTTTACCTAGTAAAAGTATTCAGTTAACAGAACTCAAGTAAAATACAGATTCCCAAAAATAATACGTAACTATAGCAGTGAAGTACTATTTCTAAAAAATTCCCTAAAATTAGGTGTTTGCCAAATGCATATATGCAGTTTAAATGTAAAATAAGCAGATGTTCACACACACACACACACACTCTCACACACTCTCTCTCACACACACACACACACACACACTCACTCTCACACACACACTCTCTCTCACACACACACACACTCACACACACACTCTCACACACACTCACACACACACACATACATTCACACACACTCACTCAGACACTCTCACACACACACACACACACACACACCTGAGGAGGTT